GTATTTTTGGGTGGTGCTAAGGAGCGCAGGCGGATGGGTCCATATGGTAGGCCTTGCGTTAAACCCTTCCTAGCAAGAGAGACGTATACCGTGTACTAAATATAAAATCTTGCCTTGTTACAAGTCTAAAATTTATAATAAAAATTTATACGGGGAGCCGCCCGCTTCTTCAAAAAAAAAAAAATATATATATATAATAAAAATAAGAAAAAGTCAAAAAAATAGAAAAAAAAAGAATTGTCATAGATATTTTTTCATATAACTGAAGAATAAACAAGATTTTTAACCTTGAATAAACTTTAATTAGGAGTTTTATTTTACTATATTAATTGTTTTGAAGGTTTTTGAGTTCTTAAACTAAAACTTACTTGTAATAAAAAATATAATAAACTATTTTTTTTTGCTTAAAATTATCATAAAAAGAAAAATTTTAATAAAACTAATATAATTAAAAGAGAATTTATTTAATTTTAACTAAAATATTTTTGTTATCAGATAATTATTTTATATTAACAAATAATAATTTTATTTTTTTTTATCAAATAATTTTTTTATTGTTAAATATTTTTATTTTCAAATAATATTTTTTTGTCAAATATTATTATTAAATTGTTATATACTTTTTAAATATCAAGTAATATAAATTGAATCAAATAATAAACTTTAATATAAATTTCTATTAATAAATTTGAATTTAATTAATTATAATTTAGCAATTGAATAATTTAATTTGACTAATAATTGTTATAAATGTTTTGTCTATAAACTTTAATATATAATTTCTTTATTTATAAAAATTAAATAAAATAAAAATTCTACTATTGAATTTTTTGATAATTTTAAATTCAGAATCAATTTCAAATTTTTAAACTTAAATAAATGTTTCTTAACTAAATTATTTAAAATATATTTTTTATTGATTTATTTTTTATAGTTATAGATATTTTTATACAATATAATTATAATCTTTTCAATTATATTTTATATAATTTCTGTTTATTTTAATTTTTTATTATTTAATTCTAAATAAGTATTTATAGTTGTTTGATATTATTTAATAAAATATATTATTTTAAAAATTTTCAATATTAATTAACTGGTTTCTATAGGTAAGTAGCATTTAACTTATTATATATGTATATAAGAGATGTTTCTTTTATAATATATATTTTTTATTATATAAATCAAATAAAAAAACAATGTTTATCTATTAATATATATATATATATACAACTTTTTGAAATTATTTATTTATTTTTTATTCAAAAACTATTGTATAAAAATTAATAAATAATATATCAAAATAAAGCTTAAAATCTAAAAATTTTAATAATATAAATTTTATATAAAAATGTTTTTTAAATTTTTTAAAATTATATTTTGAAATTATATTTTTTTTAAGTATTTAAAATTGATTACAAATAAAAATTTTATAATATTAAAAATAAAAAATAAAATTTTATAACTTTGTAAATTTAAATAAAATAAATCTAAAAATTGGTTAATAATAACAATAATATTATATCTTTTTTATAAATATTTTTTTTTATTTTTTAATTTACTATTAATTAAAATTTTAAAAAATTCCAAAAGGTTTGCAACACACTATAATTTTTTATTACAATTAAACATTAAACATTAAAATAATAATTACATTTTAAAGAAATATTTATAAAAAATTACAAACTTTATATAACATAAAAAATAATATATTATAATTTAATAAATTTTAAAAAATGTAAAAAAATATATATTATAAATAATTAAAAAAACTGAGTTTTGCAAAACTTTAAGAAATCAAATCCATTGAATTTATTCTATTTTTATTCTATTAGGGTATTAAATCTCCATAACATGACTATTACAAAGATCCTTATTAACATTATTTTCAGACGCTATCAATTCGTTATTAGCACTTTAAAATGTAATTTGCATTCTTTTGTCCCATATTGTATTTTAACTTCTAGGTGTTCGTTTTAAAACCCTTCTATAACATCTTGACACCATGGGCTCTCCTTGATTCTTCCTTCATATTTGTCTTTAACTTGGCAAATATAATTCAACATTGAATTATAATCCATCGATTCGATACCTGGCGTTTGAACGACGTCCCTCAAGAACTCACCGACGATGGTATTACCTTCCTATAAATTCAATAAATCGAATTGAATAAAATATTTCTATGAAACTTGAGAACGGGAATGTTATTTACCTCAATTTCCTGCATCGAACATTTCTTTTTGCTTTCTTGGTCAACTTTTAATAGGGGAGAAGTCAATTAAAGGTAAATTAAATTGTAAATAGTTTGCAGAATTTTTGTACCACACATACTTTGAGTAAAGTCTTCTAATTCACTTGCTTTCCTTTTTGCAAGCTATAATATCAACGTTAGTATTTGAATATTTATCGGTTAAAATATAATTCATAAAGTGGTCACGTACTTTAACAACAGTTTCAGGGAAATTGGCCAGTTCCGCAACATGGATACCAAAACTTTCATCACAAATGCCTAAACAAAGAGGCTAAATTGAGAGCGTCGACATGGTCGTAATAATCAAACATATATATGTCGATTTATTACCTTCATTCACTTTGTACAATAAAGTAATGTCGCGTATTCCACTGGAATTTTGACCAACAAATGCCGTGACATGCAAATTACGCACATAGGGAATGTTGTCGCTTAAAGCTGTTAATTCATGAAAATGAGTTGCGACCAGGCAAAAACACCTTATATTTGTCGCTATATATCTGAATTTTTAATTTCAAATAATAATAATAATAATAAAATAAACCATTTTTAATTTACAAATTTATTAGGAATTGAATGTCTTAATAACTCACTCTGATATAGCCCAAGCTAATCCAAATCCATCATAGGTACTTGTTCCACGACCGAGTTCGTCTATAATAATTAAAGAATTTGCTGTTGCCGTCTAGAGAATTAGTCAATAAGATAAATTGTTTATAAATTAGGTTAACTTTGACCAAATTCTAAAAAATATAACTAAAAAAATGTACCTTTAAAATAGTAGCTGTTTCAAGCATTTCTGCCATGAATGTAGAAACTCCTTTAAGCTGACTGTCGCCAGCACCTACTCTGGCAAGTATGCAATCAAATATACATAAACTGGCTTCTGAACATGGAACAAAGCATCCAGCTTGAGCCATCAACGCAATAACACCAATCTATCATTCAATATAATAATTAGATATGGAAAAGTTCAAAACATTCATTGTTAAAAGTTTGAACCTACTTGACGAATGTAGGTTGACTTTCCACCCATGTTTGGACCAGTAATTATTAATAGTTCACTACGATCTATAGGGAAAAGAAATGTTACAAAACTTGTAATAAATTTTGTGGCAAGACCATACATATAAAACCAGCAGTAACCATACCTTTAATTAGTCGAACATTATTTGGAATGAATGACACTTCATCTTGAATTTCTAGACATGGATGACGCGAATTGCTTAACACCACTTGACCTTCTCCTGTTACAATTCATTAGGCATGAGTAATATTTATAGTAATGGTGTTATATGAATGATAGGGTACCTTTTTCAAAGACTTTCGGACGAACATACGGTATCGGTGCTTGAACAGACACGTGCGCATAACTTTTATTTAATGAACCATTTGATAAGTACCTAGGAGAAAATAAATTATACAAGTATTTACATTATGATTTACCTAACCACAACGTCGAGATGTGCCAGTAAATCATTTAATATTTCCAAAGTAGGACAATAAGATGCTAATAAAATAAGATTAATGTCAAATAAACGCACCAAAATTAAACGATAGGTAATAGAAAATATCAAATTACCTGCAATGGCTATAACTTCCTTCACTAGGGAACTTTGAGATTTCTCATATGTTTCAGTTAAATTTGACAATGAATTACTTAGTTCTTTCAACTTAGATGTTGTAAAAAATACACCATTGCGTTGTGTTGCAAGCTCGATG